TTTATCTCAGTTTCTATTTTATTAAGGTATACTGTTGAAAGTAAAACTACTAGCTCATAGAAAAACTTAATAGGTTCTTGTTTAATTAGATTTCTATTTGAAACTTAATAGCTCAAATGTTGTAAGTGTTATTACTCATATTAAACACCCTGTTTAAATGCATGACCTTATTTTATAATTTTATCACATGCTCTTGTCTATTATTCTCTTCGATAAGCACCTTGCATTTTGCTCGAACATATTTTAGATCAAGAAAACTACATAAAAGGTAGATTATGGATGGAAAACAACTTCAAAGAGATTCATCAAAACAAATTCTTGATCAGTCACCATAATCTTAGAAAACAACTTCTCACATGTCAACAATTTCCTTAACTTTTCCGGAGCCCGTGTGAAATTGTCTTTCGTTTCATATTTCATGTATGCAAACTTGGAGCCCGTGTGAAATTGTCTTTCGTTTCATATTTCATGTATGCAAACTTAAATGAGAATTTTAACTCAGATGACCTAACACCAATAATTTCAAGTAGTGGTAGTCGATGCCTTTGATTTTCTATTTAAACTCAAAAATCAAACCAGATGAAATATATTCATAAATTTCACTGAACTGAGATGTGTCTAATAAAGATAGATAAAAAATACCACCTGATTGAATCCAACTCAGAGTGAATTTTTTAAGTCAATAAGTTTATTCAGGTGGATGGGTGAACCAAAAAGGTAATTACAATTTAATTTGGTCGAGTTTGATTTTTATTTTAAGGTGAACTTTAAAATTTTAAATATATCAAAACAATGTTGTTTTTAAGTAAAAAATTATCGAATATATAAAATGGGCTTAAAATTTAAACTAAGCTAGGCTTTTAGCTTTTATTACTAATAGAAAAAAACTAACACGTGTGAATCAAAAATAAATAAGAAAACCGAAATATTTTTGGATTAAATTGGACCTTTGATTCCCACTTCTCAGTTTGGGCCAACCACCCAAACCAAACCGATTGCTCACTCCTGGTATTTATGAGAAATTTTTTTTTACACCTAGTAGTTTTCTTACGGGCCTCTGATAAAAAAACTCAAAATACTTTTAAAATTCAGATATACATATTCAAACGCATTAAATTTTAAATTTTTAGAGGTGTTTTGGGATATACATATCTGAAATAACCTAATATTTTATTTTCAAGTTAATAATCAATAGAAATAATATTTGTTACTATTTGTTATCATGTAATTAATATTTTAAGTGAATGATAATGACAAATAAAAGACTATAATATTTTCAAAGTTAACCGTGGAATTTCATAAGCGTAGTTAAATAAATTAAAATATTTTATAATATTTTTATTGAATAATTTAATGACAATCAAGTGTGATTTGTTTGATTTACTTTTTAATGACAATCAAATTGATTTGTTTTAATAATGAAATCAATTTCTAAAATATTTTATTAATAGTATTTTCTAAAAGGTTCTAAAATACAAATATGGAAATTAAATGGAGAGATCTATAATCCTAATTAGCAAGTTGCCAACCATTAGCAAGTTCTTTCAAGTTCTGGAAAATTTGAACAAAGTTACCGCTTCATCATGGCCACACTCAAACTTCAATGGTAGAGATATCTGTATCCAGCACAAAAAGTGAGTCATGTAAAGGCAAACACTAAGACGAAGCAGCCTCTGCACCGGATTACTGTGATATTTCGTAAGCCAGCAAAGTCTCCCAAACCAACTCTCGACATCATGATATATCATGATATTTTTACATCGCGCAGAATCCTTGCAGCCATTGAGCCATACCTTCTGGCTTCCCACTCACTAAGGTTTGCATTTGGGGGAATTGAATTACTATGATCCTCAGTGTTTTCTTCAACAAGACCAGATCCTTCTGCTACAATATTCTCCTCAGTGGTTTTATCCTTAACGCCAGTTTCAACATCAACTTTTTCAGCAGCAGCTTGACCTGAGTTCTCTGTGCTCTCTGCTGAATGTTTTAATCCCATAATGAAGAGTTGAATGCTTGGGTGTTGAAATGTTTCATCCATCTGCACAAAGTGAAGTAGAAGCTTGCTAAGTAATCTAAGCACTTACAGAACCAACTCTTAAAAGCTTGCTATCAAAGGGGAACAACCAAGCTAATTAAATACTACATCAAGCATCCCATACTACTTGGTGTGAGACTTTAGCACCCTGTAACCAAGTCACTACCATAGTACTGCCTTTTAAGCACTCAGAGAACCCGTCCTTAAAAGCTAGCAAGCAAGAGAGAAGAACCAGTCCCACTTCAATACTAGACCGAGCATCTCATACCACTCAATGTGGGAGTTGGACACTCTGTAATGCTCAGGTCTCTATCAGAACCAGACTCACCTATTTGTTAATAGATCAGAAAACAATGTTACTAATCCAAGATATGTATATGATGTTGAAAGAACATATAGCATACCTTTGATTTTGAAACCGTCTTCACGTCAAAGTGTTTTTTCCACATCTGAAGCATCTTCTCGTGGACACTGGTGGAACGGATCTCATAACCCAACTTTATATATAATTTCAAAACAAATAAAACAAATCAGTATATCCAACTCAACTATACAAAGGAAGGGCATAATTTAAGTATAAAAAGTTGAATGACATACCACAATAGTAGTCCTAGGTCCAGATAAAGCAAGTATTGTCTGCAACAAAGGCTCCAATAGATGTTCTGCATAAACCTTCAATGAAGTAAAACAAAAAGTAGGATGATGTTACAGAACAGAATAACATATAAATGACCATTTATAGTTTGTCAAATGAGTAAGTTTATTCGCACTACTTTGTATGAAAAAATACTTGTTCAACACTTACAACGTCGGTGCCAATAATGTAGTCAAATGGAGGATCAACATCCTTAATGTGACTCTCATCTCCCCATTGAAGCACCGAAACCTTGATTGAACCAAATGACTCTAGAAGCAGAAGATTTTTGTGTGAGATACTAATACTACCATAACTCAAATCCACAAAACACAATTACAAATGAATAAACACAATGGCAAGGTCCAACAACATTCAATTGAAATACTTCAACATAAATAAACGAGTAACAAATCATATGGTAAAAAGGATGGTTCATAAGTTTAAAACTAAACCGGGATTCTTTTGCATGACCCTTGAAGTATTACGATCGACGTTTCTTTGTAACAATGGCAAAACCTCCTCTTGGTCTGTCACTGTAACATTGCAACCAAGTAAAGCCATGCCTGCAAAGAAAGTAATAAAATAGGGCATAGCTTAGATCAATTTTGACCAATGAGTGCATTTAGACACAGTTGACTAATTTAATATCCAATGTTATAGTAATGATTTGAGAAAGCACACCAAACCCAGAAACACCACAGCCAGCTCCCAGTTCTATTACACGTTTTCCTTTAAGTTTAGCAGGGGAAAACCTTCCTTTTCTGCAATTCCGTTCCTAAAAGATATAAGATGCATTATAAGGAATTATAATGAGGTTAAGAAACTTCAAAGTAATATAAAGTCAATGAAATATCTAAAGAACCTCATAACCTAGCCCAATTTCAAAGGATCTAATCCAAAGAAAAGAGAGAATGTGTTTTCTTTTAAGTTTCAATTCATGTTATATAAGTTATCTTTTTTCTCAATGCCCTCTACTTCTTGGAAGCACAAAAATTACGGGTGATAAAAAGGTTTATACACTTTCTAATAAAGGCTTATCTATATTGACTATAGTCACCTGGTTGGCAGTTCGCTTTGGTAAATGGTACAAGTTGGTACATTATTTAGGTTTGTGGTACATGGAACAAATTGCTATTATTTGGGTTTGTGGAATATGGTACAAGTTGGTACATTATTATAAAATATAAATAAACTAAACACAACAGCTAACGATAATGGGATAAAAATAGTCCCACCCACATTGGAAATGTTAACAGCATAACAAAAGTCCTTCTAGCTTAAGCTGTCAACCCAACAAGCTAGCATAATCACACTTCTAAAGTTTGTGAGCAATAGGAGCAAGATTTATATAAGAGCAGCATAAAAGAAACAACGTGCTTTGGGAATGGATATGTACTTATATATGCTATTACAAATTACTAGTGTGCCGTCCTTTATCCAGTTAAGTGGTTTTGAGACCCTTTTTTTTCTAAGCTATTTCCATGGTTTGTGAATTGTGTGCAAATTTGGACGAACCAATTCGCAAAAGTACTGCAAACCAGTTCTTGCAAATCAATTTGCGGCTCTCTGGTCACAGTAGCAAATTCTGTGATTATTATAAGGACATCTAGGTTTTTACCCTTATCACTTTACTTCATCTTCATGTACACCCCAAAATTATAAGGCATGCATTATATATGCTTTAATAATTGATAATCTAAAGAGTAAACCAAATAAACTATACCATTACGTATAAAAAACAACTTAAGACCTAACAAATTCATTCATGAAAAAATGTCGAGACTTTCAAGAGCATTTGAGAAAGATATTCAACTTACAAGAAACTTGGCAAAAACAAGTGACGCATCCCATACTGTAGTTCCGTGGTGCTTAGAATTGGGGTCCTATTCAAAATAAAACTGTCAGATTTTATAGAAAGACTTATGTATACAACAACAACTGCACTAATTTGTAGCATTAAAATTGCAGCACTCAAGTTTCATTGACTTATTGCAGAAAAGAACACTTTCCACAAAGCACTGTCCACTCTAAAATTAAGAGTTTAAAAAACAGTACAATACCTGAGCAAATTGCAATTCGTGCCCAAAAACCTCCAATGGCATCTCAAAGGTAGTTGGGGTATTTAATCTGGTAAATGGAATGTTAATATCACACAACAAATTATACTTGATACAAAAAAAAATCATTCAAGTCTCTCAACCGCTATAGGTTCCGGTCGTGCAATTGTAATAATACAAGAAATTCTCAACTCTGCTATACAATAAATATAACTGGTTTTGAAGAATACCTGTCAGCTTCCATGAGATCTCAACTCTGCTATAGAAATTCTCAATACCAAATAAATCTTCTATTTTCAGCTGAATCACGGAAAGAAAAACCTAAAAACCAAAAATATACATATTAATGCCAAAGAAAATTGAACTACCAAAAATATACATATTAATGCCAAAGAAAATTGAACTTTAATCATGCGAATGTTTTCCCTAACCGAAACCCTAACTTGAATTCCGTTGTTCAAAATATGCATCAGAAATATTGTTTATGAAAACGAAAACACATGAAAATGGTACAAAAAGAGTAAAATTATATACTTGTAGAATGAGGTGGAAGATTGAACGATGAGGATTCACGAAGGAACTTGGACTCAGAGGAATGTGAAGAGATTGAGAAGGAAGCTTTAGGGTTCAGAGAACTTCAGCTTCAGAAGAAGTATGGTTCGTTCAGAGATGCGTTTCAATACTTTTTCTTAACTCCTCTATTTGCATTTCCGTTTCTATGCTCGGTTTTACCAATACAAAATTTCAAGCTTAATAGAATTTCTCTTTTACATTTAACATTGGTAATCATTCCTAAATATTTGAAAATAATTTTTTAGAGATGTATTTTCGATTGGACCTTATAAATTTGAAATATCAGATTATTTTAAATGTATATATTTATAATAGTTATAATATGTTAAATTGTGTTATTATTAATAAAAAATAATTTAAATTTATAATTGAAAACTAAATATTAAAATAAATTTATTATATGAAATTAAACAATAAATATAATAATTAAATTTTTAATTATAATGATGAAATGTAATTGTCTTTCAATTTTTTATTTAAAATTATGAATAAAAAATATAAGAAATATTTTTTAATTATAACTTTAAAAGTTAAATTTAATTTAGATGAATTTTTTTAACTATTATTACAAAATTGATAATTAATTATTATGTTTAATTAGAAAATTTATTATATTAAATAAATATTTTCATGTAAATAAATAATATTTTTCTATTTCTAACACACTAAAAATATATATAATTTATGTAAATGATTGATAAGGTAATATAATTGATACACCTTGATTCTAATTGTTGGAATTGATACACCTTGATTCTAATTGTTGGAATACTTTAAATATACATATCCGAAAACTTTCAAAGACGAAATTTTGGGTTATTTCAGATATGTATATCTGAAAACTTCTTTAAAAACCTGAAATTAGGTTATTTCGGATATGTATAAAAACATGAAATTAGGTTATTTCTGATATACATATCCGAAAACCCCCTGAAAATGGAATATTGGGTTATTTTGGATATACATATCCGAAAACACCCTTAAAAAACTGAAATTTGGTTCGTTCGGAGATGCACTTCTGAATTCTAGAGGTATTTTAGAAATTTCGCCAGAGGTCCTGATATCAAACATAGGTTGGGGCTGAGTTGTAACGTGCATTCTCAAATTTCCTTAGAAAAAAACTTCAAGCATCGCCAATTTCACCTTCAACCAATGCAAAAGATGCCGGTAAAAGTTCTTGTTTTCATCTTGCGCAACAGCTAGTAACAAAGTTCCCTTATATTTTTCATACAACCACGTACCATCAACCTGAACAACGGGTTTGCAGTAAGCAAAACCCTTGATACATGGTTGAAAGGCCCAAAACAAACGATGGAAAATTTGAGAACCACTGATATGTGTTTTGTCATTAGATAATATTGATAGGGTTTCTAGTTCCATAATAGTACCAATAATAAAGGATTTCATGACCAATAACCATTGTGGTAGGTCGTTGTATGAAGTCTCCCAATTATCATAAATAGATGATATTACTTTGTTCTTTGAAATCCATGCCTTCTTGTAAGATATTGTGTAGTTGAATTTCTCGCAAATATGAGCGATAATATTTTTAACGTCTAGTGAGGCATCGATGTGAATAAGAGATTTGACACTGTCACATATTTTATTGGAGTCAAGTTTTTTATGATCTTGAGACATTGCGGATGACGTGCATCTATGCAGTCCACTCACTATACTAATCACCCATTTATGACTCCCTTTTCTCGATGAGACTCTACTTATAAACGGAATAATCAATAGAATGTCTGATGTGATAATTTTGAACGGAAAACACACATTCCTCCTTACTTTATAATTCAATTCCAAGCAAACCTCCTTCTAGTTGGATTAGATGTGTTGTTTCAAATACTGATATGTCCACATCCTGCTCGAAGGTGACATTTATAATGTGGAGTGGTGGATTGTATAAATTGAGTTGTTGTGCGTGTAACACCCTTCTAACCCCACACATATTATTCGTTTAGTTTACGAAATAAATCAAGATAAAATGACCACTCAAGAGTGTCACACTTCATAGAAACATCATAACAACAAACCATATTTCGTAACACGGGTTACATCATTTTGAAACATACATCGATTTATAAATCATCACATCATTTTAGAAACATCGCACTGGAATTCATTCTCATATAACATAATTAACTTCTCAAAAATTCATGACATTAGTCTCGTCAATTATTAACACCAAAAATACAATCAAAATCTCCATGAAACATGTCAACATAACATAAAAGAAATATCATATTCGCAAAACAAGACGTTCCCAACCTGATGTTACATATCAGAGCAAGACACCTTCTTAATAACTAAAACTATATAGAACACTCTGAAACTCTCCTCATAGCTTCTACGAACTACTCCTGATCACCTATGTGTTACCCACGTGGAGGCAACATTCAAACGGAAAGGGTGAGTAATCACAATTCATTATAAAAGACATAAGGAAAAGATTACTAGTTACAACAACATCATCATATTACAACACATACTAATCATCAATACTTTATATTCATGGATACATCATAAAATCATATGTACATCTTTTATCATCAAAATATCATGTAGTCACATAATTCACAATTACCATCATATAACAGCTCATCAACAAAACTCATGCAATGTCACATAGAATGTTAATGCAACGCAACTGACTCAAATGCACGTGGTACCAAAACTTTAATGAACACTTGGTCATCACCCTCCAAACATCCCCATCATAGAATCGATTCCCTCTTGGAACCGGAGCACATCATAGAATGCACGCAATCCGCGCAATAGAATTGAGGCTCGTCATAAGTGGAACACCTTCCAAAATAGCGAACCATTATCCAAAAATGCTATGAATGCATGATACATAACAACGTCATGTGAAAATTCGGCCACAACTAGTCAATTGTATCATCATCACATAATCATCATAGAATCATCACATAATCATTATAGAATCATCACATAATTATTATAGAATAATCACATAATCATCTTCACATACTCATCAAAGAATCATCACAATAAAACATCATAATCAACATCATATTCATCATAAAAATAGAACATCATAGCATAGTAACAAATATAATGCATTTGCAAGCGTTCCTCAAAACAACAGACCTCGACACACACTAGACACATGTGAACGTGTCTAATAGTTAGAATTTTAGTATAGAAAATAATTTTAAGTTAAAGTACACTAAATAAACTTTCCAACGATTCAAACGACGCGTCAATCAGACACTCAAATCTAAAGTTATGAATTTCTGAAGTTTTTAAAAAAATTTCAACACAACAATGTAACGGGTTACATCAGTCAGGTAATCGGTTACCTCAGTTCCAGAAGCAGAAATACTCAGTTTTTCTTCGATCTAACTGGTTACCTCAATCATGTAACCGGTTGCATCACCCAAAATTCCCAAAAAAAAACATGTTTTCAGTGTAACAGGTTACCTCAACCATGTAACATGTTACATGGCTGACAGAAGCACTTTTCTGCAACTTTTGACATGAAAATCACTTTTTCTCTACACCCAAACATCCCCAACTCACACACAATACACAAATCAGATTCTAAGTTTCAATTCCTAATCACATGACTCATTAGCAACATTCTAATTCACCAAAACACAATTAAATACATGAATTTACACAATTAATCACACTCATCTACATCGACATAACCATACAATTCATCATTATCAATTGCACTCAACATCATCACCAAAATAGAATTTCATTCTATAGTTATCAACATCCATCATCAATCCAAAGAGAACTGAAATCCTACGTCTACCTTAACCTGATATCAATCATAATAAACAACGATTAAACCATTTTCCTTAATTCTTAACATCTTTGCTTCTTCTTCTTCAAGTTCTACCGACAATCCCTCTGAGCCCTAGCTTTCCTTCGCGTTATGATCAGTGCATTTTAATTTATATTCTCATATGTTTGTAATTAAGCATTTCCCTAGTTTTTTTTGTTTTTTTTCTATTTTATTGTGTTTTCATATTTTAGTTTATTTTTCCCTTTATTTTATTTTCAGCATAAGCAATGTAAAAATCATAACTAGAGTTGCGAGAATCGGATTAACGCGTTATGATATGTGTTAGAAAACTAAGAGGAATAGCTACAACTTTCATGTTGAAGACAAAAGCTAATTCGAAGTGCAAAAGTCTCAAATAATTCGTTGAAGTTCCAGACTTTAGAAACCTTTAGTTTTGGGTCTGGTTTTTTATGTTTTTCGACCCAGTTGGGTTAAAACCGGAAATCCTTGTTTCTCTTTAACCTAAGAGTCGCGACCACTATTCAATTGGTCAATTTTACTGTTCATAAAAGTACTTTTGAAAAATTATTTCTGAAGCATGTACAGAAAACTGATGGAGAACTAATTTCAATTGACAATTTGTTGTATTCAAGTTCCGACACCTTGAGGTTATAATAATTCTAATTGAGTTTTTATTCCTTTCAATATATTATATGTTTGCTGCATGCTTAATATGATTTACATAGAGTATATTGATTTAATTTGATTGATGTATGATCCTAACCATAGTTACGTTAGTGTTTGATTTATTTGTTATCGTGTTCGTTTAAATCATGTTTGCTTAATTCCTGAGAACTTAATTATGTTTGCTTAATTCGGATAATAGGAAATTACATCACACAATACTCATTGTGCTTGTCACTGAGTTTGTACTCAGATAGGAATAGATTATCTGTTAGGAGGTTAAAATTACGATAGTCGATGATAGGTAGGAACTGAACCAACAGATTGACTTTTCAGCTTATTATGATAATCACTTATTTAATTTGTTTTATAACTCAACCCTAAAATCACAAACTCCCCCAATTCGATTCAGTAGGTTAATAATAATACAAGAATCCTTGAGAACGATACTCGAGTTGTCGTTACCATAAACTATATTTTCAAAAATACTCATTTTTTATTCATGCGCGACACCGAATCTCAACATCAATTATTGTTTTCGTTGTTTTCATGAACGGTCTGCCTAAAATAATGGGGGCCTTGCTTGACTTAGTTTCTCCTTCCATGTCCATGGAATTTGGTGACATTGTCGTGAAATTTAACATTTTCGATGCCATGAAGCATCCCTTGGAAGAGCATTTTGTTTTTCATATTGAATTGATCTATGAATCGGTTGATGACACTTGTTGAATTGTTTTCACTTGATTTTCCATCTTTATCTGGTTTTGATGATGTTTACTCATGTGTTGATTATATCGACACTAACCTTTGTGTTGTATGTGTTGAGATTGATGTTGCCTTGCAGGGTGACATGTTTCCTACAGGTGAAAGTGTTGCCAATGAAGTTGTTTATGTAGTTGAAGATCTTGACACCCTGGCTTCCCCAAACACTTTATCCATCGAGAAACCACCTTCTTTAGAGTCGAAACAACTCCCTGAAAATCTGGAATATGCTTATTTGCATAGTAAAGAAAAACTCCCTGTTATAATTTATTCTAACCTTGATTTGGACCAAGAAAATAAGATTTTGCAGGTTTTGAAGAAGCATAAGAAGGTGATTGGGTGGTCATTAGCTGACATCCCAGGTATTAGTCTCTCCATGTGTTTGCATATGGTTTTACTTGAGGATGGAGTGAAAATAGTAAGGCAGCCTCAAAGAAGGCTTAATCCTTTGATCCTTATGTGGTGAAGAAAGAGGTAACCAAACTCTTGCAAGCAGGTATCATTTATTTTATCTCTGACGGTAAATGGGTAAGCCCAATGCAGGTTGTAGCTAAGAAGTCTGGACTCACAGTAGTAAAAAATGAAAAGAATGAACTTGTTCCCACTATAGTTAAGAATAGATGGAAAGTTTGTATTGATTACAAGAGATTGAACCAGACTACTAGAAATGATCACTTTACTTTATCATTCATCAACCAAATGTTTAAACGGCTTGCTGGTAAATCACACTATTGTTTTCTTGATGGCTTTTCAGGCTACTTTCAGATTCATATTGCACCAGAAGATCAAGAAAAAACCACTTTTACGTGCCCATTTGGTACATTTTCTTACAGGAGGATGCCTTTTGGTCTTTGTAATACTCCTAGAACTTCTCAGCAATGCATGATTAGCATTTTTGCTGATTTTATTGAAAATTGCATGGAAGTGTTTATGGATGATTTCACTGTTTATGGTTCTTCATTTGATGCATGTTTAAACAGTCTAAATATGGTTTTAGATATTTTCATAGAAACTGGCCTTGTCTTAAATTATGAAAAATGTCATTTTATGGTTGAACAAAGAATTATTTTGGGTCACATAATTTCTAAAAAATGAATTTCAGTTGACCCTGCTAAGATTGATGTGATTTCTACACTGCCTTACCTATCTTGCCTTCACGGGATTTGTTCCTTTCTTGGTCATGCAGATTTTTACAAGCATTTCGTTAAGGATTTTAGCAATATAGCTCTTATGATATCAAACTTGTTAAATAATGACGTCACTTTCAACTTTGATGACAATTGAAAAAAGGCTTTTGACTTCTTGAAGAAAGCATTAACCTCCGCTTCTGTCATCCAGCCCCCTGACTGGACCATCCCTTTTGAGATTATGTGTGATGCCCCTAACTATGTTGTTGGGGAAGTCCTTGCACAAATAGTTGACAAGGCTG